ATAAGGCTGGACGATATGACTTACAAGATTTTTTTCATACCAGATTTGATTTTAATCGATTCCTCCTGCCCTCAATTTCTATAATAAAATCACAGAAAATACTTTCAAAAAGTGCCTTTATTTCAACCATCTGTTCTGTGAGTTGTATAAGGGAGCATTATGGTCAGGATACAAGAAATTTTAATTGCAAGAATGCAGTCATCGTTACAGCAGAATAAAGATGCAATTTTATAACAATGTCTTAAAATTACAAGAAGTCGTTTTAATGAGAAATAAAGATTCAGATTGATCTGATGTAACCAGCTCAGTCCATGTGGTTCTGACATTTGTCAGTAATCAAGAGGTTGCACACTGCCACCTCACCTGACCAGGTAAGCATTAAGGTAAAAATAAAAAATGGACCAAATACTGTATACAAAATGGAAAAAGAGCAACTGATAGAAATACTTTCTATATAAAGAAAAGCAAAAAAGTTAATAGCAGGAGAAAAGTTGATGGCAACATTAGCTCAGCCAATCTGTCCATCCAGGAAGCCATCCAACAGAACTCCTGTCCAACTCCAACTATAATAAAGATAAAAAAAGAAAATGGAAAGTTAAAACAACAAATAATGCCAATTTAATAATTAAGATCTAATGCGTTCTGGAATATATTATTGACATTTTACAAATCAATTAGAAGGTTTCACAAATGTTTTATTTATTCTGCTGTTAGTGCAGAATAATCTACTTAGGTTTGAAATGTCTCGGTGTAGTTTTTAAAGTACAACACATTAAAAAAGCTCAAGATAGTGAAGAATTAAGTGTAATCGCCCTTTAGCTATTTTCCGAATTAGATGCTACATTGGGAAGCTAACTTCAGCTTCGACTGATAGCTGGGGCACAATATAGACAGATCTATATATGTTTATATAGATATATATGTATATCTATATCCATCTATATAGCATAGATATGTGGATTGCACTGTAAAGTAGTTTAGGCACAAGCGTCAGAAGGTGAATAGAAAATCAGTCCCAGCCACCAGTTTCAATTTCTTCAAATGACTTTGGATTCACTCTTTTCACTGACTTCTCTCCTCCTGAGCATCCAAAAACTCACTGTTTTTATATCCAATTGGCATCACACCTGTGCTTGATTGGACACAGCCACAATGGAACAGGTCAAAAACAAAATCTAAACAGAGAGACACTAAAATTACTAATCTAATTTACAAACTCCTACATAATGAAGTTGTCTGCAAAACAAACTACATAATACAAGATAACTCAAAAGGTTACTTTAAAGAAAAACAAACAAAGCAATACACAAAAGAAAACCTTGTAATTGGTAGAACCCAGCAAGGTAATCACTGACATCATCCAGCCATTTAAGCAGGAAGTACTGGGCCGGCCCCTCCCATGCTCCTGCCCTGCTGCAGATCTACAAGAAGAAATGATGGTGAGTACAAAGGAAAACAAATACCTTAATAAATATACCTTGAAACAAATTCAACCTATAGTCCAGAAATAGTAACTTTAACCTAAACCTACATAGATAGACACTGCAACATAATGCTAACACAAACAAACCCGTGATAGTAAGTGAAGCAAAAGTGCAATGTTTAAATTAATCATTTTAACCAAATATAGAAAGTAAGTGAATGAGAAAGAATAAGGGACAAGTGGTGAACACAAACTGAACCACTTTGTCACACTGTCCCAAACTGTTAGTGCTGTCAGTTTAAGAAATGTAATCAGGATTAATCAGTGTGCTTAATT